CATATATACAAGATATATATATATATTATATATTATATATTATATATATACATATATGTGTGTGGGTGTGTATGTATTATATAAATTGGAGGGCAAAATACTGAAAACAACAATGCTGGGGGAAACAATGGCTTGATCTCGGTAGAGGTACACATTTGATAAGCATCAGCTAAAAAGTAAACGTAAGAGAAATAGAACATGAAAAATATTCAAAGATAAACTCTTTTATCTATCGTGTCTGATGTATGTATTATGTACGTGTGTATGTATGTGGGTATGTACGGTATATTGGTATATATGTTTGTATTCACGTTTTTGTTTCATAAATATTTCAATTTACCTGTATCTCCGTTAAATTTGTAGGTTTTAATTTGTTCTGATTCGGAGTATTTTAATCCCATAGAAACATAAATGTCTTCCCCTTTCGTAAAAACAGTGTTACGATAAATTAAGTCTTGAGCAATGAATTGTATCTCCTCAGGTGTTGCTGTCTCCACGTTGTATCTAAACATAAGTGTCCCCATGGATGATCCTCCTCTGAAGTAAAATAAACAGCAGAACATTGAATACCTTGTGTACAGTATTTGACTCTGCAGTTACGGTGCATAACTATTATTTATTTGTTATGTCGTTCGTATCCAACAGGAAGTACACTCGCCACTTACAGGACGGAATTATGCTTTGTAAACTACGTCTCTTTTATGAGGCTTAGGGATTGGAACTGTTTTTTAGTCATGAGAAAAAATCGTTTAGTGAAAATTTGAACCCAGGACCATTCAAAAGAAAGCAACTATCTTGCAACCACCAAGCTACAACTCCTGATAAAAAATATATAATTGTTGTTATTATAGTATTATTAATATTATTATTATTATTATTATTATTATTATTATTATTATTATTATTATTATTATTATTTAATATTAATTACATTACAAGGATAGTTTGGCCAAGTTTAACAATGCCGGAATTATTTTATTTATTATTATTTAATAATATTTCTCTTATGCACTCTATTTTTTATTCCATGCTTCAATTTATTTTGTGAAGCGTGACTGTTGGTGTCAGCCTAGGACCCTAGGGACTTTTAGATATAGTTTAGGGAGGGGCCTACGTAGGACTTAACCAGCCTGTAGTTAGGCCTATAGTTTATCCTCTTTCTCTCTAGCCTTCGGTATTACTGTACCTATCTACACTTTATAAAAGGGGGTACTAGCTTTTGTTGTTGTAGATATTATACTAACATTTAATAACATACAAGAACACAGTTAGTTACACACGTACAATTTCATAGGCCTACCGTAGGTGAACTTTAGACAGAACAATAGTAAAACTCGAGCGTCACGACATTGCGAAGTGTCTGCTCTTGTTCCTCGTATCGAACTCGAGTCGAGTCAATCCGAGATGGCCCGAGTGAACTTTCATGCAAATATTTCGTACGGAAAAAAAATCGCGTCCAGGCGACGTAGCCATCCCCCTCTCCCCCCCCCCCAAATGACTATTTAGGGTTTCAAAGGCTTACTTAATCGATTTTAGAATCTATTAATATGTACAAAATACATATAACTCCCCGAGGAGGAAGGGGGGGTGGGTCTCCCCGACGGGGCAAAATGCTAACTTTCTATATTGTCGCAAATAAATGCAAAAAAATAGGTGCCTCAACCATGATTACTAGGACCAGTGTACACAATTTGCTCATGTGCACTTTAAAGAACCTAACTACCTATTCTTGAATCAGTGGTGGCGCTAGAGGAGGGGCAGGGGAGCTATAGCCCCCCCCCCCCCCCCCCGTCGGAGAAACATAGCCCGCCGTCGGGAAAGACGAAAAAAAAATATTTATATGTAATATTCGTTTGGCCACCATATTGTTCATCACAACAACAACAATAATAAAAATAATAATAATAATAATAATAATTCAATGAGACTAATTAAAAATAATTTGCGTTCTGTTATGACAAATGCTCATTTAGGTAGCCTCATGACGGTTGGAATATATCGTGGTGAAGCAACCTCGACCATGACAGATTTCATGCAAAATTTCCAAAATATAGAATTTCACTTTCAAGAATGAGGATTTGAA